AGAACCTGGGACCAGTCATGCTATTTTTAGAAAAAGATTTTTGTTTTGTTTTGTTGTTATAAAAATATAAACTCTATAAGGCAAGAACTTTGTTTGCATTCTTTACAACTATATCCCCAGAGCCTATAACAAAATTACCTAGCAAAATGGATATTTTTGTTGAATCAATCAATTAAGAATTCGTATTGGTATCCTATGTGTAACTGGTATCCTATTGGATACCAATTAATAGAAGTTGAAAGCCAGATGACGTGGTTCACGTCTGTAATTCCAACCCTTTGAGAGCTTGAGGCAAGATGACTGCATGAGCTCAGGAGTTCAAGACCATCCTGGGCAAACAGGGAGACCCTATCTCTACAAAAAAATTTTTAAAAAACTTAGCCAGGCGTGGTGGTGTGTGCCTGTGGTCCCAGTCACTTGAAAGGCTGAGGTGAGAGGATTGCTTGAGCCTGGGAGGTTGAGGGTGCAGTGAACTGTGATTGAGTCACCACCCTCCAGCCTAGACAACACAGCAAGACCCTGTCTCAGCAAACAAACAAATAAAAAACTTTAAGACAGAAGAAAAAAAGGAGCCTCATTAAACACAAGCAAAATACTTCATGTTAGTGTCACCCAAGTCCTACCCACTGCTTCTAAATCGAGGTTTGAATAAGATTCAGGAAACGGTAGGGTACTTGCTGATATTAGAGCAGCTCATTCTCTCATTTACTCAGCTGACATTTATTGTGCACCAGGAATGTGTCACGCACTAGAGAAAAAGCAACAAACAAGACCAACTTGGCCTCTGTCATCAAGGAGTTCACAATCTAGCAACTCCATCTATATATACTGTCTGCTAGCAAACCAAGTTCAAGCAGTGGTAAATTTCACTGGAGATAATCTCTGTCTGTTCTAGAATTCAACATGATCCTGTCTGTTCTAGAATTCAACATGATCCTACATGAGCTATTACCACTAAGTATAAATTTCTCAATGGATTTCTCTCTAACACTATGTTGTCCAATTTGGTAGCCATATCCACATAAGGCTATTTACATTTACGTTTAATTAAAATTTAATAAAATTGAAAATGCAGTTCCTTAACGCTACATGCAAGGGCTGCCACATCTCTCACGACATTCTACTTCAACCAGCATCCATGCCCATCATCTCCTCACCTCCTCTGCCCCAGCCCCCTCTATAGCTGTATAGTGGAGTGTGTGTATATATATATATATATATATATATATATATATCTGTATAGATCTACATTTATCTACATAAATCGAGAGAACATTTCCATCATCACAGAAAGTACTAATTGAAAGTGCTGCCCTAGAACCTTTCTACTCAGTGTGGCCCTAAAAAAGCAGCATAGATATCACCAAGGAGGCTTGTTAGAAATTCCGACTCTCAGGCACCACCTCAAACATTCCCAATCAGAATCCTGTTGGTTTCTAACAAGAATCCCAGAGGATTCATATTCACGTTACAGGATGAGAAACACTGCTCCAGAAAACTACAACAAGATCTACAAGTTATTCTGACTACATTTAATGTCTACTTTTTTATTTTAAAAGAAATCACAACTACCTGCCTCCTAACTCAAAAGTCCAACTGTTTAATCAAATAGACATCAAGTAAGTAAGTTCCAAGAAAACAGTCTCATTACTGCAAAGAGAAACACTTGATCATTCCGGTCTGGGTTTGCCCTCTAGTTAGCAAGTACCCCGGAAAGGAACCCTTTCCAAGAGAGGAAGAGAATTGCCTCTACTGTAACATGACCCCTTCTTGATTTTATAGCTCATAGTAAATTTCTCTCACAATCAATGGCCCATGACTCTCTACTTACACAAAAAGATCATAAAATAACTGCAAATGAAAACTTGACCATTAGTCAAAACCTATACATTACTATTTGTACACAGCCTTAAGAAAATTACATTGGAACTTAAGGAAATGGGCTCAGAGAAGGGTAAAGTCCAATTTTTAAATACCAGAATATTTTTCCAAGGTTTTAATGGTCATATCTTTGGATACATTGCTTGTAAAATAGAAATGTATGGGGACATTCAGTCTGATAATGTACTATGGAGAGTGCACTAAGGGTCTTATGATTTATTTCCTATGAGTATAGTTCATCGGATTTTCAATCCTTTATAAATTATAGCTAACCTAGCCACTACAAATCTGCTTTCCCTCCTTTCTACTTTGGATGCTCATAAATGCAATAATTTGGTGTTCTCTGTTCCCTAATAAGTATCAGTTAGTAAACACCTTAAGAATTACATTAATCTTATCAGTTAGTATGACAAGAAAACTATAAATTAGTAAGTTATGGTAACACTTGAACATTTACAGAAGCGAGCTTAAAAACACACTCCCCTAACTTGTTGGAAAGGAATTCAGTCCCAAAGATGGGAGCAGGAGAAAGAGTGACCACTTTGACCCCTTGGTCTGACATTTCATAATCTGTAAGACTGGAAGATAAACGCTTAATTTACAAAACAAATATAAAGAACAAGCCTTGCAGAGTTAAAACAAAAAAACAAAAAAAACAACAACTCAAATGCAGTTTATCTATAAGTAACTACAATCCTGTTTTGTTTTGTTTTTTGAGACGGAGTCTCACTATGTCGCCAGGCTGGAATGTAGTGGCACAATATCGGCTCACTACAACCTCCACCTCCCTGGTTCAAGGGGTTCTCCTGCCTCAGCCTTCCGAGTACCTGGGACTACACGTGCACCACCATACCTTGCTAATTTTTGTATTTTTAGTAGAGACGAGGTTTCACCATGGTGGCCAGGATGGTCTTGATCTCTTGACCTTGTGATCTGCCCTCCTCAGCCTCCCAAAGTGCTGGGATTACAGGCGTGAGCCACCACGCCTGGCCCAACTATAATCCTTAATTGTAATGATGATCAATGATTTTATGTTTAATAATCGGTAAATTTCACAAACAACACAGTGATACATGACTCAAATTTGCAATGCAATAGTAAAATTTGTATTAAAATAAAACAAGAGGATAATCTAACCCATTTTACCCAGCAATAGAAAATAAGTTTGGTATGATAAAAATAACTGAAAAATGAATATAAGTCATGAGAATTTACTAAATGAGTAAGCTAAATACATTATATTGTGAGACACTCTCTTCACTCTAAGAAAAGTCACATTTTGGAGAAAGCTACAGTATGTAGTCCAGGATGCTGGCTATTATCTGGACACTGATAATGCTGAAAGCACAAATATTTAAGTTGTTTATGTGTTTGAAAAAAACAAAAAACAGGAAAAGGCCTGCCAACCACTACACAAGCTTTTAACATGTGCATACGAACAGAAAATATTCCATTAATTGGACACTCTTTCTCCAAGTGATTAATAGTTACAGTTGTGCTTACGGCAAACTGAATTTCACATACTAATGATTCAGAACCCAGTTTTTCTTATTCAGCTTGAATCCCTAGAGAAATGATACTAGTTTACCATTCAGTCAATTTCAGAGGAAGCTCTGTGAGCTAAGGGGTGGTACCACCTATAGCATACTAAAGGGATGATGAGTGAGACAGGGAATAGCCCATTAATTTTAAACCAAAGTCTCTACAACTGTGCAGAGCACTGCTACTTGTTACAGAGAAGGAACATCAAGCTGTAAGAACTGAATTTGAGCTCAACTTTAAAATTACTGTTATTCAAAGTTGGTTTCCTTTTTTCAACCATTGGGATTCTCCACTTTTGTCTGCCTCTCTTTGTCATAAGTTTTGGGTTTTATATCCACTCTTATGCTTCTGCTTTCAGGCTTTTACTTTCTAATCAGAGATGCCCCTCCGGTTTTACCCATTCTGTCCATTTTCTACTCTCCTTTCTGTTAGGGAATCCATACTTTTAAAACCCAATTGTAAAATTTCTCTGTCTTTACTGTCTCTTTGGTTTTTATTATTATTATTATTTTTGAGACGGAGTTTCGCTCTTGTTACCCAGGCTGGAGTGCAATGGCACGATCTTGGCTCACCGCAACCTCCGCCTCCTGGGTTCAGGCAATTCTCCTGCCTCAGCCTCCTGAGTAGCTGGGACTACAGGCACGCGCCACCATGCCCAGCTAATTTTTTGTAGTTTTAGTAGAGACGGGGTTTCACCATGTTGACCAGGATGGTCTCGATCTCTTGACCACGTGATCCACCCGCCTCGGCCTCCCAAAGTGCTGAGATTACAGGCTTGAGCCACCGTGCCCGGCCTGGTTTTTATTTTTAAAAGCAAAAAAAAAAAAAAGTTTAAACTTTTAAATAACCCCACAGTCTCGTTCACAGCAAGCTTTCCTCTGCTAAAATTAACACGGATATGGTAAGATTAATATAAATTGTTTCCTAAATATGCAGGAAATGTTTTGATATTTAAGAATTTGATGTTTGAAAAAACTATACAATTCTTCAAAAAATAATTATGAATGCCAAACAACTGGACTTCTTAGCAGTGATGATCAACTACAGCTGTGGACTTCTTTAAACTGCTGTCTATGAAGACAGATGTTAGATGCAGCGGTAAACACACAGCCTCAGTCAGCCTCCAGTGTGTAGCAAACTCAGCTGATCCACATTTGCACCCAGTAGTTTTCATGCTCAATAGGAGACCCACAGTTTCACTAAGGATTCAGGCTACAATCTGACAGAAACAATTATCCCAAGTATATCTAAAAATGCAAATTTTACAGAGTTGGAAGTCAGTTTCCATGGTGAGAGAGAAATAAATCTTAAATTACTATAAAAGCAACACTTTTAACAAACAGGAAAAACGCATCCCTGTGCATAAACTGAGATACCTGTTACAAACTTCCAGTAGAGATTCTATCTCTGCCTCAACTACTGTGTTTCTAGAACATTTTGGTGCAATCTTTGAGCTAACCTTGTTCCCTTCAAGGCTATTCAGATACTAAGCTGTACTTCAGGCACCCAGATGGAAAGCAATTTGAGCTCTTTAAGAGAAACTCCTCCCCTATTCCCATCCAGCACTACATTATGTCTTTCTAAAACTGGAGGGGTAGCCTGTTTTCTCTCTTTCTGTCTATATAACATATCACAAACAGTGAGAAGACATAGGGTGACAGAACTGTGTGTTCCCAGAAAAGCTGGTGGAAAAAAAAAGAAAGGAAGTAAGATTACAGGTAAGAATAATATTCTGCTTTCTATATAAAAATAAAAATTTTGAAAAACTCAATGTCACATGCTGAAATCAACATTCCAGGATAAAGCCAGGTGAGGTGCTGGGCAAAGGCATTCGGAGTGCAGGTGGCATCTCTCTGATGACTGGGAATTAAAGAATGGTTGGCGTGGGCAACCCTGAATAAATGCAAAATGCTCTCCTCTGTGTCTAGATTCAGCAGAACCTGGTCTAGCCCCAGGGGTCTCCTACTGGGACGCTCAAAAGACAAGACTAGTAAGCAAAAGCAGTCAATAATACAGACGGATACTTTCACAGCAGCATTTAAAAGAAATAGATATATAAAAATATATTTGCCTGCATAGACCTACAAATAGAGGTTACTCACAGAGATTACTGTAGCTCCAGCAGTTACCCATTGATCATAGAAAATGCCCAGTTCATCAGTTTAACGCTTGAGAAAAGTTAGCTTAAAAAGAAGCAAGCTAATGCAAAATATGCTGTTCTAGTCAACTGGAAGCAAATTAGTTTCAGATTTCCTGGCAGCCCCTTTTGCCCTGCACTGCACACGGTGATGTAAATGGAAGCACTTTGAGCACTTGGAACCCGAGCCGAGAGGAGCTGCTGCCTCAGTCCCTCTCACAAAGGCGGAAGCAGCCTGTTCTCCCGCTTGCTCTCCCTCTGTCTGCCTCTGCTGCTCTCTACCTTGGTAGCTTACCGAAAACAGCCACCGTAGGGCGTTTTTATATTTGTGAAAACTACTTCCAAGGAGATAATTGAGATGCCGGAGTTAGCTTTAATGTAACCATGTCCCCCAGTGCAGCAGCAGGAAGCCCAGCAAAGGCTTGGAGAGGATTGTACCATCCTGGGTGACATCAGAGGTGGGGCTGTCATCTAAGTATTATGCAGCATTTTCTCTGATGCAAGAATGACACATGGGAAAGAGATGGGTAGGTTCTCTTTAAAAGGGTTTAATTCTTGTGTGATTTTAACGGACAAGGCAAAGGCAAATACATTGTTCAAAAGCAGCCGCAGAATGACACAAATCCTGCTTTGCCAGTCCTTATCACTGTTAAGTGATGCTGCCATTTAAAGTCATTTTACTGACGATCGTATCTGTTCCTGTGATTAAATTAATATTTAATGAGTTATTGCTGTTACTTGGAAATGTGACATGAAAAGATTCAAAAACAATAATATCCATTTTTAAATATGAAGCCAAGAACTTTTATATCACCTATAGTACCTTGGATGTATACAATACCTTTCAACACAATCTCAGTAAAAGCACTAAATGTAAAAACAAATAGTTTTATACATCAGAAAAGTGAAGTGAGGTGAAAAGTAGAACAAGTTGAGTAAGATATTGTAATATTATTGGTCCTTAATAGTGATATTGGCTATTAATACAAATATTAAAAGTAACATGAAAATTCCAATCTTCTACAACCCTAATATTTCCAATCAGTATGAGATGCATGGGCTGACAATACAAACCACTTCACAGTTGCTTTCATTCAATCCATATACATTTACTGAGTGCCAAACAAGGTGCTGGAAAATGCATTAGGTGTAATTTGGAGAGCATTTCTGACAAGTAATAATATAATCAGAATACAAAGTATTTACTTAGGTGTCAGGCACTACACTAAGCAGTTTTATTGTATTAACTCACCTACTTTTACTAAAACTCAAGAGAGGTATGTGACTTGTCCAGATCACATGGCTAAAGCTGGCACAACCAGGATTCAAACACAGGCACTGTGGCTCTAAAGTCCACCCTCTCTACCTCTAAGCTAAAGTGCCTCCTGAGGGATTCCTTGCCAAGCAAAACAAGTCTAAAGAAAGAATATAATTTTCAGGATTCAGAACCATAGCAAGCCAAAAATATCCACCTCTCAAGAAGGCTGGCCCAAATATAAGAGGATATTGATGAGACAGTGTACCTAGAGAAAGCATACTGGGATAGTGGAAATAAACCCAGAAGCAGAAGCTCAGGGCTGACTACCAGTGTGACCTTGGGCCAATGCCTTAAAACCTTCCAGCTTTAGTTTTCTTATCTGAGCTAGAAATGTTTAAATTACAGATCAGTATAACCATGTGGTTAAAGCATACAATCTCAGCTATTAATCTGGATTCCATCATTTTCCAATTGCTACCTTGAGCAAGTTATTTAACCTCTGTGAGCCTCAATTTCTGTCTGAAAAAAAAAAAGAAACAGGAATAATAATGGGGTTTTCTGAGGAGTAATGAACTATAGATACAAATGTATAAAGCACTCAGAGTAGCAACCAGTACATAATAAAAGCTCAAGGTTTTATTATTGTTACTACAATCATCATGACTTTTAGGATGATTACATTTTTTATAAAACTACCCACTTCCCTTTTCAAAATCCTCTCAAAGAAGAGCTATTTTTTTCAGAGTTGGTTTGAACAGCAAAAAGGTAACCTCTGTTGGCTTCACACAAACACTAACCAATCTGTGAATCACCAATTCCCTATGAGATATAAGCTGAATTTGTGGGCAAGCCTTAAGACCAGTCCTTCTAAGGGGAGGAAAAGGGGGTAAGCACCCTTTTACTCTGCCCTTCCTTATGCCTGGAATTCAGAAGATAGAGCTAGAAGTGAAGCAGCCAGGCAGAACTGTGGACATCCCATAAGCTAGGGGGATAAAGCAGAAAGCGTCCCATACCCACTGCAGACCTCCCCCACCCCTGACCATCTTCACATCGGAGAGAAGTTTACATGGGTCAAAATATTTAATTCAAGTTTTCCAAATTAGGCTTTAGTTAATCCTTTCTTTGACTAACCCCCTAAAACACCATTTCAAAACATAAAGCTCATAAATAAATTTCTTACATATTCTCTAGTCTTTCATGGCATCATCTCTTAAAAGCATGCACAGAAACAGCACCCCTGCTTAGCAGTGCCATTTTGAAAGCCTCAATTGTTTTGTTTTGTCTGTATTGATTACATTCTCTTATTCTCTGTATTCTTGATTCTCTGGCATTTGGGGCCTTGGCTGTTGAAAGACTGCTCCTCCCAGGGATAATTCCTATATATAGAAAAGACCCCTCTGCGAGCGTGCCTGTGATATACAAACCAACCAATCCAGAGCCACGGCCCCAACCATCTCCTCTCTGGAGTTCTCAAGCACCAAGGTAATCACCCCAGGCACAGGTCCTGGACAACTGGGGCCATCACTATAGCCAAAATCCTGCCAAAATTATTCAAACTAGCCAATCTTAAACATACGCAGCATGGTTACCCTGCCTTGCCCACTCCCTTCTGCAAAAAAAAACAATAAAGCCTCTGGGCCATGATCCATATCTCCCATCTCTGGCTCTTGGCCAACCTGGTGCTTCCCTGTGTGACCCTGTGGAATGTACTGGGCCGCCTGTGTCTAGGGATCTGTGAGTATAAACTTCTTTCATAACAGTAATTTCTATGTCTTTATGTCTCGCCATACCTGAATTTTTAAAAATACCAAGTAGGAATTTTAGAACAAAGGTTTAAGAGAAACAAATTATTACTCACTAATTATCAGGAACAAAATTTAAAATCCACAATGTATTTCCAGACTTGAAAGTCACTAGCACTTTGGCTCTTTGGTTTGGAAATGACGAACTATTGCTAATAAATTTTTCTTTGTATAATGTGTTATTTTTCAAAAATTTCAAATAAAGTAGTATAAACAGGCAAGTAAGCTAACTATTATTATCCAACTAACAAAGATTTTTAGAAATACAGCTTTTTCACAAATCAAGACTGACTGCATGATACCGAGTTTTATTATCATAACATCCTATGTTTAATTGTTACCTTTTTTTAAACTATGAGGTCCACGTAGGAGACAATAAGATTATCAAAGGAACTGGTAACAATAATTCCTTATGTGAAATAACTTTTCCTTCATTAAGCAAGTTCCAGTAAATAAGAAATCAGTTTTCCTAGCTCAAATTTATTTAATTTTTCAGTCTGGTTCTTAGATCTTAAAAAAAAAATGCCAATTTAAGGCCTATAAAAATTGAGTTTCTGTATTTTAGTCTGTTGTCTCCAGTTACAAGGTACATCTAAATGTCCAAGCTTAATCTAGAGAGATAATCAGAATTCCAAGAAGATGTTATGTGAAATAAATCCAAGTGAGCAGAGTGGAGGGAGGTGAAAAACCAAAACCTGATAAAAATCATAGTCATTCCACAGCTCTGTAACCTAATATACTGTTTTGGGAAAAAAAAAAAACAACAAAAAACCTCAAAAGTGAAATTTAATTTATAAAGTGTATACATACAACCCTCCTGGTAAGGTTGTTTAAAAACACAGTATAAAAGGTTTGTATGTTGGAAACATTACATGTAATAAAGAGGTAAATAAAAGTCACCCGCAAAGCTCTACAATTGTCCTAGGTCTACCCAACAGATGAACAAAGTTAGCTAAGCTCATTTTCTTAAGTTACGGAGTGTGATCCCTCTCAGCACAGAAAAGACACTACAAACTGCACTGGGGGTTAGAGTGGGAGGGGGGAACAAATAGAAAAGGGGTCGAGTGGCAGAAAGTCACAATTAATGTTTAGGGATTCCTGTCTTCCAGGGGCCAAACAAGATGCTTTTCACCTCTAAATCCTCCCCTATCACTTTCTAAGAAACTCTCAACTACCAGTTTCTTCTGTGCCCTAACCCAGCCTGTGATAGGAAGGAAAGATCAAAGAAGATCAGGAAGCAGATCTCATAGCAGATCTCTGTCAGTCCCTGTTAACCCAGAGCTTACATAGATAATGCTTGCTACACAGTAGACACCCAATTAACTGTTTCATTTAATCCTTAAAACCTCCCTACCAGATAGATGTCAGGTATACCTAAATATAAGGCAACTCTAAAATAGCTATTAAGTAGTTCATAAATTCCAATGGGCCAAAAAGTTATTGGCCATATTGAATATTTAAATTTTTAGGATGGATGAAATAATCAAATGGCTCCTTATAATATTTTCCTTATTATGTTAATTTGTATATATAAAAATCACATAATACGTTAAAACAATAAATAAATGCTTGTTTTCATTCACTTACACTTCAGGAAATGATTCTGTTCAAGCTTTTCATGGGTAATTTGTCATAAGGATCTTTGCTACCACTAGAGGCTCCTCATCTTGCATCTTCAGTTCTGTCTTAAGTTATTTGAGATACAGCAATTTTTAAATGTGTGATGCTGTAACTAGAAATTCTATCCTAACCTACAGTATCCATTCACTAGCAGTGATCTGAATATCACTTACTGCATGTATGACCTATAAAAGTCATCTTTATGAAGGTAGTTTCTCCAACATCCAACACTTCCACCTCTGAGAACATTTCCCCAGAAATAATTACCAAATGTGTGTTCAATTTGTTTGCTCCCTCTTTTTAACCTGTTTTAGTAATCTCCATAAGCATCCCAAACTGGCATTATCTGTAGTTATTTCAAGCTCATGTGTTTTCTCCAAATAATTCTTTGTTAATCAAAATAATCAAGAGCATCCCTAATACAGAACACTTGAAGAAATTAATGGAAGACCACTCCCTCTTTTCTGATATCTTTTTGAGAAAAACATCCTCACCTTAACTTTGGGATATGTTAAGTATTAATTCCTTTTTACAAATGAAGAATATAGAGAAAGTTTAAGCAACCTAGCCAACACACAGTTAAAAGATAGAAGAAAAAACATCCCTCAGACCAAAGTTTAGAAAAAGGGGTATTTAGCTGGCAGCCCACATGTGAATATACAGAAGAGCAGAAGAGAACAAACAAAGCCACTCTTTTACTTTATGTTGCATTATGTTTTTTTCTAGCACAGTTGAAGAATTTTAATCTTTCTTTCCCTGTTGATTATTTGCAGTGACTTATTTACAATCATAAACATAAACACACAACTTTATTTTCTATTAATATAAACCATATAAACATTTTTTAATGAATATATCATTAGTAATACAATTTAGTCATTGTTGAGTAGTCTGGTTATTTCCAGTT